GCCTTCACTTAGGGCGGGCACCTCCGCCTTCACTTAGGGCGGGTAAGGCTGCAGATGGGGCCCAGTAGGCCTACCGAGGACACTGATCCTCGCACATTGTTACCTAGGGCCGAAAAGTGGGGGTCCCTGTTAACCGCTTGTGCAAATAGCCAAACACAGGCTTTCTGGAAAAAGTAGTAACCACATGACTGATAATACCAAATCCAGTACGAACTGAGCTAGGCCGGTGGCCGGTGTGAGTGCATCTCTGATATGAAGTCATAATTGTTTTTTCTTTTTTAAGTCTTCTTGGCCGTGGTTCTGATCTTCCCGGTGCCCCAGGTGGGTGCTCATGCGTGAACCCTGGGCCCAGGTGCCGAAAAGTAGGTCACTCTGGCGGCTGAGTGGCCGAAGTATTACTTGCAATGCATCCTTTGTGTTTGAAGAGATTCGAGCGAGCTTGAATTACGACATTGTTCATGGAAACTCGAGTACGTCACATGAGGGTGCTGTTTCCGGGGGCGAAGTTGTAAACATATCGGGATATGTGATAGGAGGAGGGCAAGGGTACTTAACTCAGAGACGGAATATGGTTGAAAAGCNTGCTGTTTCCGGGGGCGAAGTTGTAAACATATCGGGATATGTGATAGGAGGAGGGCAAGGGTACTTAACTCAGAGACGGAATATGGTTGAAAAGCTGCAGAGTTCACGTTCCCTTACCTCTTGCCAGGCATGCATTGATCCCATCCATCCTTTGAAATTTGATGAGCAAGCAATGGGCAGGGCAGTGTGCAGGCGGGCAGGGCGGTGTGCAGGCTTGTTGCATCGTCGATGTTAGTATGTCTCGATTTTCCTGTGTGGTCCTGCGTTTGCGATTTAGCTCATGACTGTGCTGTGGTTGTATGCTGCAGGTTGTATCATGGTGGGATTATGGGTACCAGACGACTGCGATGGCAAATCGGACAGTTTTGGTTGACAACAACACATGGAACAACACCCATATTGCAACGGTCGGGACGGCCATGTCGTCGCCAGAGCGACAAGGATGGGAAATCTTTAAAGCCCTGGATGTAGATTATGTCTTTGTCATTTTCGGAGGTGAGTGTAGCCCGGTGAGCCCTCCGTCAGTTTCAGACGTTGGCCTTTCACATAAGGCATGTCATGTTTAAGGCGATCAATGCTTCGCGGAACTCAATTTAGTGTCGTTAGGATGTTCACTTAGTTTCTCCCAAACATGAGCACATATCTACCTGGCTTCCCACCTAATTTTTATTTATTCAGGGGTCGGGGCGGTACTGTTTAATCCGGAGGCTTGTTTGACATCAGCACATATGTGTACCTGGCTCCCTACCTGATTTTTATTTTTTCAGGGGTACGGGGCTGTACTGTTTCATCACAGGCAATGCTTGGGATCTTGTTCTGGAGGGGCAAAACAAGCCCTGCTGGCTTTTCTTGCGAGTTCTTGCAAGCTCCCTCCCCCTCCGTCTTCTGCCTGATGAGGTGCAGAAGTGTTGATTTTGCAAGGATAGTGTTCTTTTTTCTTCTTCTCTGGCTTAGGCAAATGCACGAAATTAAGCAACGTGGTTGTGGTGTGTCCATCTTGCTGGAGCAGGTATGGTGGGGTACCCTAGCGATGACATCAACAAGTTCCTATGGATGGTGCGAATTGGTGGTGGCGTTTTCCCACACATTAAGGAGAGTGATTACCTGGTGAGCTACCCAGTGATTCACTCTTTCCAACTCTCATGATGAGACTTTATTGAATAGCAGGCATACTTTTGAATAGCAGGCATCGAACTCTCATGATGAGACTTTATTGAATAACAGGCATACTTTTGAATAGCAGGCATAGCCAGGGCGTTTCCGTTTACCATCGTGAGAGTTAGAAAGAGTATTTGGGGCAACATTCAGTCTGGATACAGCGATATTGACTGGGCATTCTATTCGGTTGAAGTTGGGTCGGGCAGGCGTTTCCCTTTGCCGTGGTATTCCTGATTTTGATCCATTGCTCAATTATGAACAGAATGATTTTTATGTCTGGACTTTTCTGAGTGGGTGCGTCTACCATCTTCATGCGGATAGGAGGCCCTGGCCATTATAGCTGCTGCATTCGGGGCAATATTCAGACTAGATACAGTGACCATGGATCGGCGTTGCATCCGTTCTTCCAAAGATTTGCAACTCAGGAGTACGCACAGAGAGAAGGAATAGAGAAAGTGAAGGTAGCAAGGAAAAGGGGAAGAGAGAAAGCAGCATGGTTATGCCGGACCTGGACACCGGACCAATCTGGACATCTGGCCGGACCGCTGTCTGGACTGCTCCTGACCTTCCGTATTGAGAAAAATGGAATTAAAAAAAAACCTTCAAAAAGGGGAAAAAGTTTTTGTCTTCCTTTGGATTGGCTATGGCTTTCAAGATTATCCTCAGGCAAAAGATTTTTGCATCGCAATGCTGCGTAACATCTCTCTTTTAAAATTTAAAGGCTTGTTTTTTGTTTTGAGCAGGACTTTTTGGGAGGGGGAGGGGTTGGTGGCGGATGCGGGTATCTGGACCGGACACCGGACCCGGACATCCAGACCCGGACCGTCCATGCTGCGGTCCGGACATCCAGATCGCAACCGTGGGAATAAGATGGAGAAGAAAACGAGGATGAGGGAGCAGAAAGATAAACAGAGAAAGAGAAGAGTAATGAGGGGGAGAAACGAGAGGCAGGACGAACAGATGTATAACTGCATAATCTTTTGAATGGACGGATGGAAATGAAAGCGGAATTCCGTGTGTAGTACTGTGTACCGGTGTTAGTCCCCGGGCGGGCCAGCTGGGGGAAGGTCGCCTGGGTACCCTCCTGGGGAGCCCGGGCTGGGCAGGGCCCAGGCCGGGTCCCAGGTGATTCCAGCACATAAACGTTGAAATTCCTTGTTAGTTTTAAGATAAAAATAAATGAGAAAACAGGAGTCCAAAATGTACCCATTAAACCCCTTTAGTCACTGTTTATACCCCCCGAAAGGGCCCAAACCCCCCTGGTTGACCCATCACCAAAACTGAAGTTAGGACCGGATTCTGACTGCTTAGGCCAAGTGCAGTCCTGGCCTGAAGTCCTTTTTTTCTTTGTTTGGGATCCTTGCCTCTTTTTTGACCCATCTGGTTTTGGTGGGCGACTCCTCTGCCCAACTGGCCCAGGCATGCTGGACCGGGCTTGCCGGGCCGGACGACGGCCCAAGATAGGCGTGTAAAGGATTTCCCGATTGTTTTGGAGGCAGAAAGCCTGTAAAATTCGCATCATACAAAGTCTGCAGAATCTTCCCACCTTCTTCAGTCAAATACAACGTACGGTCATTGTAGCTGTATTAAGTGCTATCTTTCAGTCCAAATACATTTAATACAACAATAATGACTGCACGTTTTATGCGGGTGAAGAAGGTAGTAAAGCAAGGGAGATGCAGGAGAAGCACAGGTGGACAGAAGACAATCGATATATGAAGAGGAGAAAAGGAGGAAGAGAGGAGGGAGGGCAATATGGCTGGTGTGGAAGGGGAAGGGAAGGGAGAAGAAGATGGGCACTCGTACTCCCTCAAGGATCTTTAGTCCTGTTGTCGACAGGGCCAGAAATCAAGGACACGGATTGGGAATTTGCACCGGGGCTAAGCATCTGCGTCGGGAAGCGACGGAGTGGGATGAAGAAATGCCGGAAGTTGGCAGCGAGCTTAAAGACCGAGAACTGGGTGGGAGGGAGAGCATGGGTTGGGGTGAAGAAACGGGGGTCAGGAATCAATGCCGGAAGCAAGCATCAGGGCCGACAATTCTCTTCTCTCACTGCTCTATGCTCCATGCTTTGTCAAAGGACTCAAAACAACGTATTCTGCACTGGTGATTGATTGAACATTTGTGTCTTAAGGCTTTCCTATTCAGGAGAACAAAGTTAATAGAGGACATGGTTAGGTGTGGAAGAGAGATGCTAGGGCTTGGGATTGGACTTGCATTGTTTTATTTTTAAGCTGCATTGTTTTCTGGGGGGGGTGGGCGCATCTTCACCCTGCTTGACTCTGTGTACTCACTTTTCGATGACCAACTGTCTTGGCTTTTCAGCGAAATGGACAATATCGAATCGATGCGCAAGCAACACCGACAATGCTTAACTGTCTAATGTACAAGCTTTCGTACTACAGGTAAGGTCAGAGTAATCAATCCAGAACGCACATGTAGCACCAATACTAGTCTGGATATATGCCAGTTATTCTGGGGTTCAACGGCACTATATCCAATCCAGCAAGATGTTCCCTTTGGAACATCCATAGGAATTGGAACAATACAGGGAAGCATCATGTGGTCCGTCAGAAGGAAGACATGAGGAAATAAAGAAATTGTCCGACCTTCTTTCAAAGGAAAAGGAAGAGTTTGGAAATTTTGAGGTTCGTGGATGTCAATAATGCAATAATGGATGATCCAAGTAAACTGGAGCACATTAAAGATCATGAGCAGGATATGTGGACTGTGTGTGTGTGTGTGTGTGTGTGTGTGTGTGTGTGTGTGTGTGTGTGTGTGTGAGAGAGAGAGAGAGAGAGAGAGAGAGAGAGAGAGAGAGNGAGAGAGAGAGAGAGAGAGAGAGAGAGAGAGAGAGAGAGAGAGAGAGAGAGAGAGAGAGAGTTGCCACAATGTTTTTGCTTGGGTTTTCTGTATTCGCTGTCGAGAGAGAGAGAGAGAGAGAGAGAGAGAGAGAGAGAGAGAGAGAGAGAGAGAGAGATTTGCCACAATTGTTTTGCTTGGGTTTTCTGTATTCGCTGTCAAGAAGTGACATATGATCCAGTTTTCTCCCTCACAAGAGAAAGTTGATTGGAAACCCACAATGAGCATGAATTAAGAGAGGAAGGAGGATGAGTACAGCAGGGTACAAGTAACGGGAGATTGGAACGCAAAGTGGGGAGGATGGGGGGAAGAGCTGTGTGGAGGATTAGTGACTTGCATGTGAATCATTGCTTTCGCAGCTGAACTGACGAAAAGGAGGAGAATGAGGAGAAATAACAAATACGCAGATCGTTTTTGTTTGTTTTAGTATTTTACTATTTTGACCGTGAGAGCCATATTGCAAAGCTCGCAAACAACAGGATGGAATAGGGGTGATGAAAGTAAGAGGAGGGTTGAGAATGGCTCCTCTTTGAAACCCCCCTTGGAGATGGCTGGGCCCTCCCGATGCGGGGAGGCGTCCCAACTTATGCATTTGAATAGTTCATGCTACCGAACGGATCACAAAGGATGTGTGGATGAAGTTGATCCACTGCCGACAATGGTCTCCACAAAGTCAAACACAGGAACCGAAAGAGAACAGTTGAATGTCCGAGTTCACCCCAACACAAGGGGGTAAAAACAGGAAAGCTTTTTGATTGGCGCTCCCCCCTGTTTCCTTGCAAGCGAAGCCGCAACGGGTCATCTAGTACCGTAATAACGTCGCATATATTTCTTAGTCAGTTTTATCTTCAATGTGACACCCTTAAAGAATGCAATTCAGATAAAACATCTTGGCATTATATTTGAATGTTGAATTGGTAGAATGCTGTGTAGGTGTGGAGAAGAAGTGAGGTATGCATGGGTGTAAAGGGGGTTGAAAGGGGGGCGGAAGTTGTTTGTATGGCAATTCTACATAACAAGCTGTTTGGGGCCTCAGCGAAGTCGCTACCATTGTATTGAGAATATAATTGTAAAGTTGGGAACGGATGAAACGCCCACGGGGTGTTATCGCAACTTGTTGGTTTGTAAAAAATGCCTGGAGGGCGTCGTATTGGTACATAACACCCGCACGTTATTTTCGGCTTAAACCACCAGTACCTACCGCATTTTTCGTACCCCCGGCCTCGAATGAATTTGGACCGGAGGGGCAGGTAGGTTCCGCTTCCGCGTTAACGGCCGCCCTAACCGGTAGGCACTGGTGGTTTAAGATGGTTGTTGCTGCCCAGCTCAGTGCTCTTGACGAGCTGCTCTCCGTGCCTAGGCCCATCGGGTCTATCAATGGAAAACCCAGTTCTCTGAGTCTGAAAAGGCCTATTCTAAACTTGGCCCACATACACATCCTACCGACAGGTCCCGGGTCCAAATTTTGGCAGTGGACAAAGACTTAGAAACTAGCAAACAGGCGGAGCAGGTTCGCCCCCAACATTTTCAAATGGATTTAGGTAGCCTATGTTTCTCACATATTTCGTGCACAGTGTGGCTCTCAGTAAGCAGCAGTGTCTCTCGTGCACAACGGCCCACCTGTGCCCAGGAACCCGCTCATGAAGCTAAAACCTTCTTGAGTCAATCAACCGACAGCTTATCTGTTTCTTGCCGCGAAACACTGTTCTGAGCGCAAGGTAAGCGTCACTGGTCTGACAGCGTATCTCTGATGACAAATGCTTTCCATCAAACGATTTGTGCAGGTTCACAGATGCAACAGGCGATGGCTATGACCGGGTTAGAGGAACGCAGATTGGAAAGAAGCACTTCAAGTTGAATTATTTCGAGGAGGTATAACCGTATAACCGATCCGACTTCTCTACTTTGCGAGTGCCATACTGCTATCCCCTCCTTCCTCTGCTTTTGCTTCTGCGTGGTCTCCTTGTGCATGGCTGGCTGCTTGGGTTAGGCAGCCTCAAGTGTGCTTCCTTGTTGGACTACGTGGAGTTTCTTCTTTGTCTCTTGATGGCGGCCGTGTGATTCTTTGTTACTATCGCAGAAACGGTGTGGAGTCTAAGTGGCAGCTTGCGTGTATTACAAATGTGTTGTCTTGACAGGATACTCACACGAGGCCCTTGTAATGGCAGGATCACAAAATCAGCGGCCAGATCAAGTCCTCGTTTTAGGAGGACTCGGGCCGTTGATTTTTGGATTCTGCGATTACAAGGGCCTAGTGTGACTATGTCCTGAGCGGTTACACCACCACTACCTTTCAGGCTGGTACGCGGACCCGTAAAAGTGACCCATGGTCCTGTACCGCATTCTTTGGAGGCCAGCGGAGGCTGGGAACTACCGGACCACAAAGGCTGGCAGTGCCACCCAAAATAGAACAAAAACACCGAGGTGGCACTCCGGCTTTCCGTCGGCGTGCAGTGCGACTCCGCATCGGCGAAAAGAGGCTCGGAGGTAGCGGTGGTTTAAGAGGACAATTGATTCTCTTTGAATCTCTGATGCAAATGTCACTCTCTCTCTCTCTCTCACACACACACACACAGACACACACACACACACACACACATACATACACACACACACACACACGTACACACACACACACACACACACACACACACCTGTCTCTTATACACATCTAGATGTGTATAAGAGCACACACACACACACATACATACACACACACACACACACACACACACATACATCTGTCTCTTATACACATCTAGATGTGTATAAGAGACAGCACACACACACACACACACACACACACACACACACACACAGAGAGAGAGAGAGAGAGAGAGAGAGAGAGAGACCATCTGGAAAAAAAACATGCATGTGATCATAGTACATGATTGCCCAACCCTCGTTTCTTTTGCGAGCGAGCCCCAAATGGTTGTCTGGTTCCATTTAAGAACTGAATAAAAAAGGAGTTTTGACCTTCACATATTTGCTAAATTCAAGTAAATTATCCCCCGAATTATGCCCAATCGTCCCCAAATCCATTTTGTGGGCTAGCATCTGCTGCTTGACATACTGCTCAGGTGAAGTATGTTTTCTAGTCTCCCCACCCCGCCCCCCTTCCCAGTGAGTGTTCTGCCATGCATATCCCCTGTGGTCATTGATGAGTGGGCTGTGCACCAGATGTGGTGCGTATTGAGTAGGGTGAAAGTTGACGAGGTACTTTTGTTATTAGCGACAGAGTAAACGAAGGCATAACAAGTGCCATTGCATAGACGAGAGCATAACAAATGCCATGGAATTCCAATCTCGTTAATAAGCGGAAGCGCTAGATTTATAGGTGAACTTGGAGTATTCGGTATAAGCGAAATGTGGTGACAACAGTGGTACTCAGACAAATAATATGAGCGCGATTGAAGTCTACTGCTGGACTGTAGACAAATGATATGAGCGCAGCTGGAGTCTACTGCTGGCCTGTAAGGCGAGTGATATGAGCGCGGCTGGAGTCTACTGTTGGCCTATAAGACATCGGGTCATTCGGGTGTATGCGTTTGCGTTCAAAAATTCTGAACTCTTGAAAAAGCGAGAAGCATTTACAAGTAGACTTGTTGAAGTGTTATGTACAAGCGAACCGCGGTGACAACAATGGTACTCGAAGAAATGGTATGATAGTGGTTGCAGTCTGCGGGGCTGGCCTGTTAAAAATCCGGTGTAGTCTCTTTCTCCCTCGAAATTATGTATGCATATGGATGGAAGTGCAGTGTGGAGTGTACCGCTGACCTGTGAGATATCGGTTGTGCGCATTTGCCAGAATATTCATGCATTTGGCTTGAATTTTTTTTCAGGTATTTACAACACAGCACTGGATGGTGAGAATCTACAAGCTAAAGCCTGTGAAGAACCGCACTCGGGGCCGCGTCAAAGCAAGAACAAAACAGGTGCGCCCATTGATTGCCTGCCGAGGCCCTTAAGGGCCTAAGTCTTCTTGCATACTGTTTTCTCTCCTGTCCTACCTTCCATTGTTGCTGGTCCACAGGTCCGTCCAATGCTTTCACTCCTTCCGTTGTCTGCTCCGTATTCGGATTCTCCTGATGCTGCGTGTCCGTCTCCGCTCCTGGCTACCTTCGCCTGCTTTCCAATCCTACCTTCACAGTCGCCCCTCCGCGAGTCCAAGCGCTTTCACTTGCTGCCCAATGCTCTCTTGCCGTCGTCAGGTCCGAATCTTTTGCTCGGTCTATGGCCTGCTCTGTGTTGCGATGCTGCTGATGCTGTGTGTGTCTCCCTTCCTGGCTACCCTCTCCTGATTTTCCAATCCTACCTTCTTATTCGCCCCTCGGCAAGTCCAAGAGCTTTTACTTATTGGAGAACCTGCTACATGTTTTGCTTCCGGTGATGCTGATGCTGCATGCCTTCTCCCCTCACGTCTACGTTTGTTGCTCCCCACCATCCCTTCTGATCCCTCCCTTCTCTCTATCTCCTTTTACCAGTCCGTCCGACTTCTCCTCCTGCTGCCCTTCCCTCCCCCTTTCCCATCGCCCTTGTCATCCATATCCGCTCACTGAATCTGCAGGGGTGCGCCGCAACATGCCGCGGTGCAGCTTCTGTATGTGTGGGGTCATCCTATGCCCTCTTTTACTTTTGTATTATGAACTTGAGCCTTCATGTTATGGTCAAGGCTCTTGCCTATTGCTTTCGACACAGTAGATGTGGCATACTGGGTAGCCACACGGGCCCTGTAGGACCCGTCCCGGACATTCAGCCTAAAAGCCTAAAACTTAGGATCTACAGGCCCCGGTCGTTTCAGCCTGAAAACTGAAAAACGAGGGTCTGCAGGCCCTACTCCGTTTCAGCCTATTTCTGGGTCTTTCAGACCCAGAGTTTTTCCAGCCTGAAACGGAGGGCTATTCTTAGGCCCTGGGCTATTTTTAGGCCCT